TCCCATAGAGGAAGAAACATTCACAATCCTCGGCGAGTTAGATAATTGGAGCAGTGGAATAAACGCTTCAGTCATTCTCTTCACACCATAGTAGTTTGTTTCAAGACATTCCTCTGCTAATTCATATGTCTGAATCAATATGTTATTCCAATTGACTTGAGATCCTCCTGTCTATAGCAGAGAGAATGACAAATTAAAGAGTACAAAAGATGAAGTCTAAAGCCAAGGATTTCAATTGATTACACGTCAAAAGGTGAATTTTCCAGAAACAGAGAGTTATGGCTACTGATTGTGCCACTTGATAGTCGAATCTAAAGATTTCGAGATAAAGCAGGACTTGTTCTGGTTTTTTAACTACAGCAGAAACCTCAAGCCATTTTCATGGTTAACTAACTCTATATCCAAATCAAGTTGCACATATAATTTCTAATCAAGCATCTAGCATAAAAGAATGGTCTACTAGTTAATTTGAGGGCTGTCTAATTATGATAAATCCTCTGGGGTTGTGGAGTTGTAAATTCTCTGACGTGTTATAAAACATACATATATGAGTTTACGTTTCTATGCACTAACGGCAATTATAAACACATGTAAGTTATGCTATAAGGTAATTACTGGTAATTCTTTTTGAAGCATCAATCCGAAACTTACACAATCAGGCCACAGTTATAAAGTAATTAACAGCTAATCTCTACAATGAACATTAATTGATGACCTAGTAAAAACGGTAACAAACCTATACTACACTGATTGTCAGTGTGCCAGTATATATATAACCTGATACTTATCATGTAGTAACCAACTGTCTTGTATTAAGACACAATTAATCGATAGATTAAGTCTAGTTAAAAGGACTTACCCCACTGGACTCTTGTGTAGCTCTAAGGGCATCAGCATCTGCAGTGACTCCACCAATTCCTGCATTGTTCACCTGAAAATACCCACAGCTCTATCACTTAGCAAATTATTTTGATCATAAACAAGAAATTAAAATCAAGAACATAGCTATGCTTCTTACCAAGATATCAAGCCTGCCAAATTGAGTCTTAATGAATTCAGCCAAAGAAGCAATAGTGGAAGGATCCATAACATCAAGCTGTTGAAACACCAAATTTTCTTTAGCTAAACCAATTAACCCTTTGAGCTTCTCTAGAGCTTCAACCCCTCTCTTCTCATTTCTAGCAGTC